CGGGTTTTTCCTCCGACTTTTTTTTTTTATATATATACCTAAGTTATAACAAGGTTTCCAATTTGTTTAATTAAGCCATAAAAACTTTTTTGGGTTCTTTCAAGAGTAAAGAAAAGGCTTTGATTATTCCTTCCCTCCCCCCCCCCCCCCCCCCCCTCTTTTTAAGAAAAATGAGCAAGTAAAGGAAACAACGTTTTTAAAGTTCTTTTTTTTAGAAACCTTAACTTGAAATATAATTTTAAATAAGCTAAAAGTGTGTTAGCTGAAAAACATTAAATAACACGTCTTTTTTAAGAAGAAAGAGATTTAATTCAATTGACACAAAAAAAAAAGTATTAAATGTAAACCAACATAACAACAATAACTCATCCTTTTTGGGGAATCTAATTAAGTTAAATAAAATATTCTATGGTTAGAGTTAAAAAATTAGTCAAGCATAATCAAAAAACAATTAGAAGAGTAAAAGAGATAATACAACTGGGCCAATTTCGCTGCAAGTTTTTGCGCTTTAACCCAATTCCATTTTTGTATACACCGTCTGTATATTAGTGTATATTGAATGTATACAGCTCATTTTTTTCATGTATATCCTGCTTCCGGACACCTGTATTTTGCCTCATCTCTGCATTTTTGCATTTTTAGCCATATAAACGTTGTATACAGTATGTATACAGCCTATTTTCGCCTTCCGGACGCCTGTGTTTCAATTTCCAGCCCTTATTTATGGTCTTCAAACTATTCATGTACCTCACGATTTGCAATGGGGGCTGACTGGAGGGAAGAAGAGGATTTGGGGCCCCATTCGGAAATGCAAAGAAAGAAGTACACCATGGTCTCAGGAGGAACGAGTTCATACACAGTAAAAAGAGAGAAACAAGATAGAAATTATTGTCTGGCCATATTTTAGAGCTATACAATAAAACCAAAGTGCATAAAAAATAATAAAGCAAGATATGTATGTGATTAGTTCGACCTGCCAATATTATACAAGGATCATAAGTGAATGCACGCAATTGTCCTCTATCCAATATTGTTAATGAAGGAATTAAAAACAAGTAAGAAAAAATCACATCATTCTTATAATTAGCAAATAACAAATAGAATAGGCTCCCTATATGGAATGAAATCATTTCATGACAAGAGGAAAACAAGAAAAAAAATCTATGGCATTTTTACATAATAAATCAGTGATCTTCTCGTCAAAATTCTGTATGCAACTAAGGCAAGAAAACAGAGGCTACACCAAAATGATAAAGGCAGTGGCTCAAAACATAACGGTGCAGCTAACATATTCATTGACACAAAACGAAAAATGGATCATCTCAAACAGAGTTTCAGTTGAACATAAAGATACCAAATCGAGCCAACACATATGGCGACTAACTTATAATATTGAAGTAGCTTCACTGATGCATTATTAGGCACAAGAGTCAAAGAAAGACAAACATGTGATTCACTGTTTGTGCATTTGTACGTTCTATGAAGTTGGACTGCTGAAATTTATTTGAGACAAGGGACAAGCGGGCTGGAATTTGGAGATGGGTTTAAAAGTGACATAAGCGAAGAGGTGAGATTGGGATTTAAGAAATAGCCTAATTGAATTAAATTAACAAATTCGACTAGGGTCTAAATAAGATCAATTCATATTTATTAATTAACGAGTTTCTTAATCTTAACGAAATAAAATAATTGACTTAATTGTAAACTAATAATTCAAAATTACAACCGTAATTTACACTAAACTAATTTGATAAAATACTTACTAAATTAAAGTCTTTTTTGAGATGATTTATTGACATGTTTATAAAATATACTAATTATATACAAAATTATATAAAAGGATATATACTACTTAAAAGTTACAAAATAAATTAACAATAACTTGGAAAATATTTTTTAGAAAAACTAATTATTTCAAATCACGTGGAATTCAAGAAACTCAATGATTAATTTATATTCTGAAGGTCCAAAATTGAGTGTCAACAATCCTAACTCCTCCCGAACTAGAAGTTATGGCCATTTGAAAAATAACAAAAACTCACTTTTTAAAATTAGAAAATTTTCCATATTTTTTCCTTTATTTCCAAACATGAATATTTTTGGTTCTACGCTTATTCAAGTTACGAGATGTTAAGGGTATACTTTAGATCGTGACATTTAACCTGCTGATACAATTCTGTTTGTGTGAGTCTCTCGACGATCACATAGGGTTATTGTTCCTAACTGAGTGTTCCAACCTCTCGTTTCATTCCCAAAGGGTTAACATGGATGGTCACGGTATTCACGAAGGGGTAATCAATTGGCATTTATAATTTTTAAAAGTTCATTTTCAACATGCATTCTTCAAATAAAGATTGATATTTTGTCAATTTTTAGAGCTTTACTTGGTGGAGTAGACTGATTGTTGGTGAGTTGCATCGGGAAATTGCGTGGGCACATTTTGGGGTCATTGAATCTTCCGCTGACCTTGGTAATTCTATCAATTTCCTCTTTAATTCTCCATATTTGATCCTGTTGAGCTTAATATTGGAGGGGCAGTATTTTCTCAATGGTGGCTTGGATTGTGGCCATTTTGGGGCACAACTTCCTTGGACAATTTGAGAACTCATTAAAGAGTCAATTTTATGACTTCGTATATAGTTCCCAGATTGTGTAATTGGGGTTATATTTCTGTTTTCAAATTCTTATTATGAGTATTATTGTGGTTGTTTTTGTGTTCCCATTGCGTTGTTGATAGCTGGAACCATTCAAAGGTCCTTCAGAAGGGAAAAACACTGAATTAGAGGTTCAACTTTGGTCTCGAGGTAGGTAATGATTTCCCTTTCCTTAGACTTGTCTCATTTAGATTGATTATATATTGAGTAGTATAGTATGTTAGATTGGAATTTAGGATTAGCTTGGGTTTACTTGTTTCTTAGTCGATTTATGACCATTTCTGGGTTACTTAGTGTAGTTTTAGCCGGAATGTCTTAGTTTAGGTTGATCCTTGGTGATGGTATCATTTAGTATCCTTAGAAATGGCTTCTAAGGGGCGTGAAATTATTTTAACACGTGTTTTTCTTGGTTTGAATTTTTTAGTTGCTAATGTGGTATTTCTTACCTTATAAATTGTGCTAATATCAATTGTTGAACCCAAGGTTGTGAACTTGGACTAGCTAGAGTTCTGTGTTAGTACATTTGTGTCGTGATGGGATTTAGCTAAATGTGTCTTTTGTGTTGTGGTTTTGATAATGAGGTTTGAGGTTTGTGATGATATTTGAGCATGGTAGTTGCATTTGGTCGCTTATCTTCGATATAGCCTTGTGAATGGTCAAAATGAGTTATACGAATTCGGAAGCTCTTGAGACTTTATGATTTAAAGGGAAGGAAAATATTTATTTTCATGATTGTATGTACTTTTTGGCTACTTTCATACTAATAAGTTTGAGGTATCATTCTGGGTGGCCCATTGACTTAATTCCTGGTGCCATTGCCTTAATTCTGGGTGACATTCTAGTATATATAACTTTCCCATATAGCAAATATAAAAATTACATTTGTATGTTATAGTTACACTTTGTATAATTGCGTTCCGTAGCAAACAAAAATATGTATTTTTCGCTATATATGTATTTTTCATATTTGTTTTCGATATCACAAAGAAAATATGTCCCAAGTCACATAATGTGTTATTGGGTAAGGCATAGCTGAGGTATGCATTGTAGTAGATGAACTAGTGGAAGGAACCAATTTTCAGATGGTATTAGCAACATAATCCTATTGTGAGCAGGTTGTTGTTTTATTCGATGTCCACGACCCAATTGAGGTTCATTATTTTGTTCTTCGCTGCCCTCTACCTCTTGGATACTAGACATGTCTTCTTTCGTCATTTCTTGAGCATCTTGCACCTCATTAACTTGTGAATCAGGCATATTAATCACCGGTTGATGTTAGCCATGCTCAACTCCAATATCTCTCACAAAACCATCATCAACAAATCCATTTTCGACTACTTTTTCAATATTCTCATAAGAACAGGGAACTTGTTGGATAAACAAGAATTCATTCTCAAAAAAAACAATATCTCTAGAAACAAAGTACTCATTTGTTAGCTCTATTTTTGCCATTGCCAGTGCTTTTATATGGAGAGAAAAGAATAAAATAAGACCTCAAAGCTCTAGATGTGATGTTGATCACATCCGCAGGAAAATTGTGCTACATCTATCCATCAAAGGTGAATGGCTAGTCATGTGAAAGCAGGCACTACATGATCTCAATTGTTTTCCTTATCTATAGGCCAATGTTATGAAAGGCGCTCACCTCGTCGCCAAAGGCGAGAGGCGAGGCGAGGCGAGGGTGGCTCACCATTCTCTGGCGAGGCGAGGCGAGGAGAAAAAGGCGAGGCCCTGGCGATAATGGCGCTGAAATGGCGAGAGAAAGGCGCCGCCTTTTTGATTAAAAAAATTTTGACTTAATAATATTAGTCAAAATTAGGGTTTTTTTTTTACTTTCGAAAATTTCTGAAACTCGCGACTCTCGATCGATCGATCGATCGATTGACTCTTCTCTTCTCCCTCGCCGGCCCTCGCTGCTCCCTCGCCGGCCCTCGCTGCTCCCTCGCTGTCGCGTCTCTGCTTCCTCGCTGTCGCGTCTCTGCTTCCTCGCTCTCCCTCGCTGTCGCGTCTCTTCTCCCTCACCGGCGACCTCGCGACTCTCTGTTTTCAGGTAATGTCGCGTCTCTGTTCTTCTTCTTCTTCTGTTCTTATTTTTTCTGTTCTTTCTTCTTCATTTTTTTTTATTTTGGTAAGCTGCGTAAGCAGCAGTGAGGACTCAGGCAGTGAGGACTCAGTAAATGTAACAAGTGTTAATTTTTTTTAAAAAATTCTTTTCCTAAGACCTAATTATTTATTCCAATATTCCTAAACAGCGAATTAATTGAATTTGATAATCAATGGTGGATGCTAGCAAAAAGAGGGACATTGGATGGAATTACGGCACTCAAGGAGCGACGAAAGATTCGGTCACTTGTAACTTTTGTGGGAGTACTTTCAATGGTGGAATAACGCGACATAAACAACATTTAGTGGGTGGTTTCAAAAATGTTAAACAATGTGCCGCTTGTCCGTCGGAAATTAGAGAAGAAATAAGGGCTTATATGCAAAGCAAAATAGCTAATAATCCCAAATTTCGAATGAGGCAACCGGAAGAATTTGTTGATATTGATGATCTTGATGAAATGGATGATTATGCGGAAATGAGGCCTCCCTCCAAAACTCAAAGGATATCTTCTAGTGGAGGTTCATCCACTGCACGGAGTGTGACGAAAGGACCTTTGAACCTCTATTTTTCACAAAAATCAACACAAAAAGGAGGCTTAGAAAAAGGAGGAGGAATCGAAGAAACAAAGAAAATTCTAAGAGAGCGTGCGGTAAGTGCTTTTGCAATTTGGATGCATGATGCCGGGCTCCCTTTTAATTGCGTCAATCACAAATCATTCGATAAATTTATTGAGGCGGTTGGACAACATGGCCCCGAAATGAAGCCTCCTACATTCCATGAAGTTAGAGTCACTCACCTTAAAAAAGAGGTGGATAAAGTAGAAAAAATTGTTGAGGAGCATAAAGTGCAATGGACAAAGTTTGGTTGTTCCATTATGATGGACAAATGGACGGCACGAAATGGCAAAATGATCATCAATATTTTGGTGAATTCTCCAATCGGTAGTGTATTTCTTGGTTCGGTTGATGCTAGCAATGAATCTACCGATTCCACCAAAATGTACAAGTTATTTGAAAGCACTATCGAAAGAATTGGACCAGAAAATGTGGTACAAATTGTCACCGATAATGCTAGTGAGAATGTCAAAGCGGGAAGTATGATGATGGGTGCGTATCCACACATTTATTGGACTCCATGTGCCGCTCATTGCATCAACTTGATATTTGGTGACATATTCAAGGTTAAGCCATATGCTTCCGGTAATCAACCTATCCTTTAACTTTATTAAGTTTCTTTATAGTCAATAGTCAATACTCAATAATTCATTAGCTACTAATTAATTTAATTTAATCTTTCTATAACAGTTTTTAAGAAGGCCATCAGAATCCATTCTTACATTAGTCAAAGGTCATTGTTGTTAAACTTGATGAGAAAATTCACCAAAGAAAGAAATTTGGTGAAACCGGCCAAGACAAGATTTGCAACGGCATTCTTAACTTTGAGAGCTATGTACATTCAAAGAAAAAACTTGAAAACTTTAGTCCTCTCAACCGAATGGAATTCAAGTAAATTTGCAAAGGAAACTTCAGGGAAAGAAGTTGCCAATCTTCTTATTTCTATCCACTTTTGGAATGATGTTGTTCGGGCACTTACAGTTTGTAGCCCTTTGACAAAAGTGCTTCGTTTGGTGGATGGGGAGAAAAAACCACCAATGGGTTATATTTATGAGGCAATGGATAGAGCCAAAGAAGCTATTGCACATGGTTTTCGTGGAATTCAGAAGCATTATGAGAAAGTGTTTCAAATTATTGATGCAAGGTGGTCAGAACAACTCCATCGGCCTTTGCATGCTGCAGGCCATGTTTTGAACCCAGGATTATATTATAAAGCTGAAGAAGAGGGAACTTTATTATAGAGTTTGTGGACCGAGTATTATGCATGTGTTGAGAAGTTGGTCCGTGATACAACAATACAAGATGCACTAATCGCTGAGCTTCCTAAGTACAAAATGGCGGATGGACTATTTGGTTGTGGTCCGGCTAAAAGAGCTAGAGACACAAGGTCACCGGGTAAGTGGGTTGATTTAGATCTTACATTCTTACTTATATTATTTGACTTACTTATAGTCACTAACCTTTAAATTTATTTTATTATAGTTGAATGGTGGTCACTATTTGGTAGTGAAACACCAAACTTGCAAAAGTTTGCCATGAAAGTGTTAAGCCTAACTTGTAGCTCATCTGGATGTGAGCGAAATTGGAGTATGTTTGAACACGTAAGTAAAAATTTATATCCTATTTTTCATATTATATTATTATCAATATCAACTAGTTAATATCAATAACTTATGCACAGATTCATTCCAAAAAGAGGAATAGGCTTACACTATCGCGTCTCAATGATCTAGTGTACATTAAGTACAATAGAACATTGAAACTCCATTATGATGCTCGTGATCTTATTGATCCAATTCGCTTGGATAACATAGATGATTCCAACGAATGGTTAGTTGGATGCCCCGAAGATCAAGATGATGAACTAGTATATGAAGATGATGATCTTA